CTTCAATATGGAATAGGTCGATATACCAATCAATACTACATTACTGTCTAAGAAATTCTACGTTAGAAAACTATTACTTTTTTAAAACCCAGTAACTAAAAAGTTTAGAACCACAGAGCTTCTAAAATAATTCAATAAATATTCAATATAATAATATTCAATTAAGAAATGCTTAATTCAGTTTTGTTGTACCTAATTAAATGTTAGCTCTTCTAACTGAAAAAAATCATGAGTCGTGAAATGGTAGATACTAAACAAACTTATAAGTAATCAAATTATAGTCAGCATTACAGGCCTCTAAAAAATACCATTTTAAAAAACAGACGTAACATTGCGAACCCAATAATATCTGTTACTCGATAAAAACTCAAGCAAAAAGCACAACATAACTATAAAGTATTGAAGTCCTGACATTCTTTAATACTTCTTCGAATCAAAGCGAAGTTTCTTAAACTTGTTTAGTATTTCTCGTAGCTTACAAATACTGTATTATTTTCTTAGAAACAGAGATATGGTACATAGTTTGAAAGAGGCTGTGATCTTAGGCTTGGGATACCTTCCGTCCAGTGTTGCGCATGCGTATACTACTTCAAAACGTGCACCAATTATTTTTGATGCATAACGTTGAGTCTCCTAATGACGACAGTGAGATCTGTAGAGCTGTTATAAGTTAACGAAACTTTTTGTATCTAATTTAAGATAAATATTAAATGGTTTAATTAACCAGTCTCAGCTTTTGAATTTGAGTTCAAAACTAAAATCTAATCATACATTATCGCATTAAGTATGAAGAATTACACTAACAAGAACAGCGTCTGCTAACGATCCCTCTAAACTATTATAATTTAAATAAACTTGAGATGTATATTGGGTTTTCAGGGGCGTGAAATGAAGTTCGACACACGATTGACTGTAAACTGTATAATATATTGGATAGAAACTAAATATAAACAAAATTATACAATATTACAAGAACTCAGAATATTCACGGCACAAATATGGGGCGTGTGCGTCGCGGCTCAGGCGCGGAACTCGTTGTTTTCTTTGTGACGTTTCCACGCAATGGCGGGGAAACGGGGGAAGAGGAAGAGTGAGGTGGCGTGTTGCCACTGGAGTTGCGCGTGTGCGTCCGACACAAACCAAAATCGAATTGCCGCGTTATATCTATCTTTAAAAACACTTCAAATTCTTGCCACAAATTCCTTAAAATATTTCGCTAGTGCAAGATAAAATTTACATAGGTCCAGACTCTATGTATCCTCTGTTCATAAACTGAGACTATTTCGCAGTCCACGTACATTCACATAAGATCAATAAAGAGACAAGTCTCAAGTCTCTATACCAAGTAAGATCAGCTGTCGTATGGACTTGATAATGACGGAAACATGTTCCACTTACAAGATAATCTATCAAGGGATAGAAATGACAGCATCCACTGCGATATCATTAGATCTATTTATTATTATTTCGACATTTTGTTATACTTTCTCAAATGCATATGGCTATCTGGTTTCTAAATTCCACTAAAACATTTAGAAGTAGATTAAGTGAACATTTTACCGTATCTTCAGTGACTAAACAAAGTCTTTACTGTTTTAATTAAGAATACGGCCGGCTTACACTCGGAAATATTGAGAAAAGCTCTGCTACTTTCAAGTCACTAGTGACTTTGTAAAACCGGCATTTTTAACTATTATTATTTAGTGTTTTGCACGATAGTTATTATATAATTATATAATTCCTATTGTTAGTCCGTATTTATCAACTCTCAAAAACATACATACATACATACATAACTTCACGTCTTTCTCCAATGGGATAAGGCACAGACTATGTAACACCAATTACTACGATTCCTACATACCTCTTTCGCTTCATCTACAGTCATCAATGTTTTGCGTGCATGCTCGTCGGTGCTTTTTTTTCTTTGTCCTTACAAATCATCGAAAATCATCGAATGACTTCTCCCTCTCCCGCCTGGGTGAGGCGGGAGGGAGTGTCAGACTCTTACTGCTCGTCTGTTAAAGGTACTTTTAATCGACATTTTTTTAATATTAAGTTATTGCCGGCGATTGCTTACTATTAGGTCTCCGTGCACTCGTTTACCGGCTTACTAAAAAAAATAATCACCTGCCAAAAAATATACCAGAAAGTGAACTCGACGCATCTTATATCCCAATCCCTAGTATTTAGCACATCCGCATTATATAAATACTGTATCCTTACATCGGCCGAAGGAAATACCTTGCAACTAAACCTTTATATGGAAGTTAACATTAATGAATGCAATCAACTAGTTTAGTCAGTTGCAAGCAAGGATGAGTCACTCGTCTTCATTCAGTAAGACTTCATTCATATGACGAGTCAACTTGTGCGCAATGTTTCGCCTTAAACGTAAATAGTTTAAGCATTTTTTGGCCTTGGATTTTGGAGATGATCGTTTATTTAAAAGAATTATGTCAAGATGGAGCATTGGAAAATAATATGTATTTGTATATATAATTTTATATTCACATCAAACAACAGTTTGTAGATCACATTAAGAATTGTTCTTTGCTGGATTCAGACAATTCAGCAACAGCAGTCGGTAGAATATTGTGAAATGGTTAAATCGACACCTTCACTACATAATATAAAACAAAGTCGCATTCCGCTGTCTGTCTGTCCCTGTGTATGCTTAGATCTTTAAAACTACGCAACGGATTTTGATGCGGTATTTTATAATAGATAGAGGGATTGTCAAGGAAGGTTTATATGTACAATACATGCATATTGCACCCTTGCGAAGCTGGGGCGGGTAGCTAGTATGATATAAGTGAGAGCAAACATTGACCTGTTGCACTCAAAAACTGCATCCCACTTTTATGATTATGGTCTGGCGACTGATTGCAGATTAACATACTTAAAGATAAAAAAATAAGACATATTTCTTAAAACAGTCCATATAATAATTATAGCACCAGTCACTATTCAAGCGCTATTAGAGAAAGAGGTGAACTAGAACAAACAACCAAGCTATTACTTAGTGAGTTAAAATAATAGATCGGCCTCATTGTTAATATTGATCGATGTACCTATAATGTACGCCTAGGTTATTGACCTGCACTATGAATGTTCAATACTAGACCAGTTACCAACAAATTAATATAGGATTACATTATATCTTACAGTATAAAACCAGTTACATTATATGTTTTTTTTTTCAAGGGGGGAAAAATCATCGAATTACTGCTGCCTGGGTGAGCCGGGAGGGAGTGTCAGACTCTTACTGACTAAAAACCACCCCGTTCCTACACCTGCACGTCGAGCCGGAGCCCCGGTTACCCGTTAGGTTCTCCGCGACAGTTACATTATATGTTAGAGTATTCACAAATTGAATAACATTAAGTACTTATTTAAGACGCCGACTTCTCATCCATGAGAGTGCGAGTTCAAAACCTATCAACACCAGGTATCAATGTGACTTTTTCCTACTTGTATGTATTTTCTAAGATTATTAAGACACCACTGACAAACGGTGAAGCAAAACATCGCGAAGAAACCTGGATCTATAATTTCTAAGTTTCAAATCGCCAACCCGCATTGAGCAAGCATGATAATTAATCATAATTAATTAAAAACCTTCTCCGTGTGAGAAGAGGCTTTGTTCAGCAGTGGGCATTTGTAGGCTGTTGATTATGATATGCGTGAAATACTTATGATATTAATATCTCAAAACATTCATACTAATGTTTTTTCACCCAGAATAGCTTCTAAATTAGGTTATACTATGCCATACCACATAATTGCAATAAATTAATAATTATAATCGAACTCGTTTCTCTTAAATGTGTTGATTTATTAATGGCAAACTTTATGGCAGTACCTACAAATATGTTATGACTTAATAAATATTTCATGGAAGCTACTATACGATAAAAATGGTTAATAAAGTTGTACAAATGAATAAATGAATGAATATTTGAAGACATTACAAAGGAATGAGTAGTTACTAAAGCACTGAAAAAGTCAAAGTCAAATAATTTATTTCAATTAATCCTTAATACGGTATTTTACAACTAATCAAATTCAATACGTTTATCGAAACGTCAAACACGATATTGTTCTATGAATTTTGTAACAAAAGCTAACTTATAACGTCATCATATTTTCGAGGCAAATAGCACACTTATTTCTGAAAAAATTGCTAGAATAAATCGAAAATTAAGTATATCGACAAATATAAATATTAATGAAATCGTTATTATTTTTGACCCAGGAAATACCCAATTATGCACTTTTGGAACTTAAAAAAATTTAATTGACCGTCCGTCTGTCTGTCAGTGAAGCTAGGCACTCGTACCAAAGTATAGTTTGAAATGGAGAAGAACAAGCAAGACACTCCATCATAATTCATTTTGGTCATTTTTTACATTTGGTAAGAAAAATAACTTATAAAATACATTTTTTTTATAATAATAATCTGATGAAGCCCACTCAAGTACATATTAAATAATACTGATAAAATATTAACGCTACTATAATGTTGTCTATTCTTTTGTCCATGGACAACATTCTTGTCTGTGATATGGCAATACATATTTCGTCATTGTAATATTACGCTTCGTCTTATATTTAACTAGCGACCCGCCCCGGCTTCGCACGGGTGCAATATGCATGCATTATACATATAAACCTTCCTTAAGAATCACTCTATCTATTAAAAAAAACCGCATCAAAATCCGTTGCGTAGTTTTAAAGATCTAAGCATACATACGGACATACAGCGAAAGCGACTTTGTTTTATACTATGTATTGATATCAACTGCTAAAAATCCACATCAAACCATCTTAAATTGATAAGTCAAAAAGCGCTTCACTTCGCTCGAGCTTATTAATAAAATTAGGGCAATTTATGTTAATTACAAATATCGGATAAGTCTAGGCTAGTCACGTAGTCACATAGCTAGGCACTAAAGATGTCTGCCCTGTTCGGTATGATCTGAAAATTCCGTGGCAGTATAAAAGGTGTGCTTGAGCACATAATTGCGCACTCTACACTCTTAGTTCAGTAGCAACAGACTACCATGCGGGCCCTTGTAAGTATATATTCGTTAAATTAAATATATAAGTATTTTAAATAGTTTATAAGTTTCTTTTCTCGAAAGTAATCGACAGAAGTTTTAGTATACCATGTAAAAGTTACTCATAGAGCCTACTATACTAGCCGCACGGTCGCCGCAGTGGCTGGGTGACAAAGTGTCGCGGGTTCGATTTCCGTGCCGACTAAAAAGTAGTAATGGCATTTTCTGATAAAAATAGCCATTATTAGCCCGGAGTCAGGAAGTTCGGTGGGGTTTCACCCCGTGCCTCGATTAGCACGAAAAGCCGTTGGTCCTACCCCTGACCTCTCTCCGGTCGTGTCGGTCTGCTGGCTCATCGGGTTCAGAGAGGACGGAACAGTGTGCACCTGTGTTTACGCATACACTTGTGCACTATAATATCTCCTGGGGAGTGAACTAGCCTAGTTAGACATACTGGCCACCATGACCGAAATCGAAAGACAATATTTCTGTTGATTTCTAATTACAAATAGAATTTTACTTAAATAAATCTATAGACTGATATAATTGCAATAGATTTCTCAAACATTAGTTAAACATTTATTATAAAATAGTAAGTAGGTACTTCTAGGTAGTAAAAAAACTATGACTTGTACCCAAACTTGACGGTCCTTGAACAAGTTATCATTATAGAATTATTAATGAGTTTGTATAAACTAAAAGCTGACACAAATACATAGACAATAAGTATAAAGAAAGTAATATAGAAAGTGCTTCCAAGAATGTATTATTAATTCATGAAAATAGATCTTAGCTCCTGATAATAGGGTAAATTATCGATTGTGGTACACAGAAAAGGAATGATCAAAAAATAATATTAACATATTCCTGAGAAAAATAATCGTTGGGGAGGGGTAATTGGGGCTCCGGTAACCTCACTCACACGACGAAACAAAACGCAAGCGTTGCTTCACGTCGGTTTTCTGTGAGGCCGTGGTATCACTCCGGTCGAGCCGGCCCATTCGTGCCGAAGCATGGCTCTCCCACGCTTAAATAAAATAAAGTGATGATGCGGTCGATGTCGATGATCGATGAAGCACGTCGACCCATAAGCAATCTATTCACTCGGGCCCTGAAGACACTCAGACATTCATAAATGAAATGATTTTTATTTTTGCAAATGGGTTACAATGTAACGCTTTTATACATCAATCTACACTAATATTAAAAATGCGAAACTGAGTAACGAATTGACGTGATTTGAGTGAAGGTAGTTAAAGGGATGAGAAGTGACATAGGCTACTTTTTTGTTTCATTCCAACCCTTATCTTCCTTAAATAGAGTGGAAGTTTGTATAAAGCATTCCGCAATTTTCAAGCTACATTTTTTTATGCCGTCCCTGTAAGGGTTTGACTAGTCTTTAAATAAAACTAAATAAGGCCGTAATATAACTATTAGTGCAGCAGATACTGCTTTTGTTTTCAGATCGTATTCGCGATCCTGTCGGTGGCGGCTGCTAAACCGAAGCCAGGCGGCATCATTGATGACTGGCACGCACCTGCAGTATGTCACACATTATATAAAGCTTTATTTACTTTTAGGATGTGAATATTCTTATATACAGGTTTAATACTGTGTTTGATACTCCAAAGGTATTTAAGTGAATAATTTATAATTTTGAATTTGTTTATAAATTATTATTAACCAACTTGTGTACGCGACTCCGTACGCGCAATCCCGTTTTCTCCCGTCCCCGTAGGATTTTCAGGATTTTTTTTTTGGCTTAAGAACCTTCTCCTGACAATAACAAACACAACAAAAAAAGATAAGCTAAATCGGTCCAGCAGTTCTCAAGTTATGGCGTGACAACGGGAAACGGATTTCATTTTTATATATATATAGATTTAGTAAAATAGATATGTCAACTAAACCTGGACAATAAATATGGTGTCTGTTCAGATTCCGTCATTAAGCTACGTGCATCAACCAACGGTAGCAGTCGCGCAACCAGTAGCGGTCGCACAACCAGTAGTGCACGCCGCCCCGGTAGCCTACGCCAAACCAGCTGCTACTAGCTACGCATCATTCCAACAAGTGAGTAGCAATTCCGGCAACTTATAGGATTTTTGTAGAGTTTATATTTTAAAGGAATATTTAAAGGAACTATTAGGTCATCATTCTTTTAATTCTCTAAATTGATATAGACGATTTGACCTTGAACACTGCAAGAAATAGTGATCAAAATAGGTCTAGATATCCAAAAAAGGCTGAGAGCAAAAATAAATCTTGACCTACATGTATACCTACGTCAATGACATTTCCAAACTGGTATTTGAATTTTAGAAAACCAACCAATACTATTAATTATCTCATCTTATATAAACAGTACATAACTAATTAATATTCACATCAAGATATTAAATTATAATCATCCGAAAACCAGTAGTCAATGTGTGTAGTAGTCAGTGAGTCAATGATGAAATCTCCAAAAGTCGTACTCAAAACTGCTACGCGTTTCGTAGCAACCAAATATTTCGTAGCACGCGCTACGAAACTGAAAATGTAAATATTCTCGTAGTACCTGTACACAATGCTACGGTTTAATCGTTGTTGTGGTCGGATCAGTTGTTTCTAATCAACTTAATTACAAACTTCCGTGTAAGCCGCAAATTCAGTACCACGAATACTGACAACACGATGAAGGAAAATTTGAATTGCATAAATCGACCTTGTTATTCATGAAATAAAACACAAACTGCTTGGGTCAGGTTTAATATTATAGCTGTAATTAAATTATTATTCCTAGAACCTTCTAGCAACCGATCTACTGTTTATCCTACAGATCGTGCACCCAGTGCAAGTCGCCCAACCAGTGGTGCATGCAGCCCCAGTGATCTCGCAGCCTGTAGTCCACGCGGCCCCAGTGGTGCAAACAGTGGCCCAGCACGTCGTGGCTCAACCCGTTGTCCAAACCATTGCCCAACCTGTGGTCCAGAAATACGTGTCCGTAGGCTCTTACGGAGGCGGCTATGGTCATGGGTGGTAAGGTCTAAAAGGCCCTCTAAAGAGTGTAAATATTTTTCTATAAGCGTTAAGATTGTGTCCGTATTGTTGATGTGGTACAAAATAAAACATTTCTCATCAGTACTGAATTAGTTTTGTTTTATTTAGAAAAGTTCTTCAATCAGTTCGTAATGTGGTACTTTAGATTTAAATCAGTGTCTTTGTGTTTACCGATAAACCATTTTCATGAAAGAGAATGTGATGTAAGTAATAACTTAGAGGAGGAGGACAGAGGAGTACCTCTATATACTTATCTAAGCAACAAACTCCTTTATACACTCAGAGCAAGTGACCTGGCTTCCCCATTAAACCTGTTTAACAGGTTTATCATATTAAAAATACCGACATTAGGTGTCAGAAAATATTTAACCAAAAGCCCCATTAATAAGTGACAAAATAACCCTTTCTTATTTACACACCGTCACTTTACCATCGATTGTAATTGACAGGTGAGTACTGATGGGCAATAATTGAGCATTAGTCGTACTGCTGGGTAGCGTGCTCACCTCCTAACCTAGGTCGATAGCAATCATTAGTGTGGGACCTAAATTGATATCTATTTATATGTACGCCTGTTTGTATGTTATATATAATTGACGTTCTGTGACTTGCCGTTACCTGAATTTGATAATTTCGTAGAATTCATAAATATAGTTAGAGATGTTTTATAGTTGAAGCCGGTTTGTAATTCGAATCAAGAGGTGATTTCCAAAAGCGAATATCGATTTTCCATTGTATCTATTATAAAGAATAAATACATCATCATCATCATCATCACCCCCCCCCCTCCCCCCCTAATGCCCCTCATACTGGCTACTGCCCTGTTGCATGCAATTGCAACCTTTATTTGGTCAACTATTCACCTCGTGAACGTTTTACACTGCGCTTACCAGTCCGTCACTTGAAACGCATCCGGTCCCCTAATAGAATAGTATCCTAAATTTTATGTTAATGGTACATTATTTCAAAACATTAGACACGTATTTATTCTTTTTTTACAAAATTAAATACTTTCGGTAATACTTTGCCCGACCGGGGAATCAAACCCAAGACCCTTTGCAGTTGCGACCACTCGGCCAATGAGGCAGCAATAAATTTTATAATAGTAGCCAGAAATAGTGATGTGCTAAGAACAGTAGGTCATGTACGTTTTGCCACTGTTAACACATAACATAACTATTTTATAATAGATGGGACTGACGTTTAACGACTATCCCGTCTGGTGGTAGGCGATGATGATGCGGTCTACGATGGAGCACGTCGTCCCATAAGCAACCTATTCACTCGGACCTTGAAGACACCTAGGTTATACCCCTCAGGAAATAAATACATACAGGAAATACTATTATGTTATATAAAACGCATATATGCTGATTAGGTTATCATTTACATTTAACAGAGGACGAGTGTTATTAACCGGGTTCAATTACATACTGTAGACTATTACTGAAAAGTTCATAATGAAATCTTATACCAATCCAGAATTGAAACTCTTTTCGACCAAGGTTATTCTGCCTCGATGGCTGAGTGGTCACAAGTCTGCCTGGCAAGGGGTCTCGGGTTCGATTCCCGGATCGGGCAAAGTATTACTGTGTTTTTAGAAAATTCTCAGTAGTAACACGGAGTGATAGACTCACCCCTATTACATGGGACTCGTAACATAAATAGTGAAAAGTGGGTGTTACATTGTACAGTAGCATTAAGTGCCATATTGTGCACCTCTGCCTACCCCTTCGAGGATAAATGGCGTGATGTTATGTTATGTTGACGTCATCAAGATCGTAGAAAAATAATCAAATTTCACGATATCAAACTAAAAAAAACTTACCTAAGACATTCTCCTTGACTACTGTAGTATATAAATCCATTTGACCTTGATATGAAGCGAGCATAAAAACAAAATATACAAAAACAATAAAATCGAATATTGTGTGTAAACATTGCAGCCAGTACTCGATATCTCGTATCGTGAATAGAATATAGTTTACGACATCGTTGAATCGATATCGGAGCGAGTGGCACATCACTAGCGATCGCGTGTCGTACGGCACATCACCACTGTCCTGAGAACCAGGTAAATATGTGACTATGCTTTCCGTTAATAATAGGACAGAGACGGTCATTAAATAAAATTAAACACAAGTTCAAGTGTGGGAGAGCCATGCTTCGGCACGAATGGGCCGGCTCGACCGGAGCGATACCACGGCCTGACAGAAGACCGACGTGAAACAAGGGTTGCGTTGTGTTTCATGGTGTGAGTGAAGTTACCGGAGGCCCAATTACCCCCCCCCCCCTACCCCAATCTCTCCAGTCCCCGAAACCCCAACTATCCTCAAACTCCTCATCCCCAAAAGGCCGGTAATGCACTTGTAACGCCTCTGGTGTTCCATGTGTCCATGGACGACGCCGATTGCTTACCATCAGGTGTTCCGTCTGCTCGTTTACCGGCTTATACCATAAAAAAACATATTTTAACTACTTCTAAACAGGACTCAGATTGTCCTGTTCCAAAATGTTTACAAATGGAGGTTGTAATTTTGCTTCAAAAGGTTAGAAATAAACTGGAATACATCTGGTGCTGAACAGAGGACACGACAACCCCTCTACTTTTATACAACAATCAGCGTGGGTCTACCTGACTAGGTCTAGTCTGTTCTATAAAACACATTATATCTGTACATTTAAAATTTCGAAGAAATAGATGATACACAGACCTGACTGATTTTATTTTACACAGAAGGAAATTCGAAATGCTGTACCATATATTTTGATGACCGTGATGATGATTTTGTTAATCAAAATACACCTCCATTTGGCAGTCGGTTAAAAACTTGATAGTACGTTATCAAATTAATTATCAGTCACTACTTTTTTATTTTTCCTCAATTAAAAATATGGCTTCCATGAAAGTCCCACAATAACACAAATCATACTCACCATATTGGAACCATAGACATGTTTCAGTAGCACAGCAAGCTTTCAGTAAACTAAACGTGACCACAGCGCGATGTTGCCTAACTTATATCAAATGACGATCGAATTACATAAATCGCTATCCATTGACGCGTTTTAACTAACATGATTACACAGTAATGATTTTAAAACAGCAATGTACTAAAAATAGCAATAAATAATAAATTAGAAATTCGTGGATTCGGATTTTTGTATGTGAAGAGCCTATTGAACGATTTTATGTGAAACCTTTTGACGTATTAACTACATTAATTCTAAATTTTAATATATTTTGTGTTTGTTTGAGTCAAGTGACATATTTAAACAAACAGTGCAATAGTATAAAAGTTGACAATGAAACTGTCGATTCAGTTGAATTTTGAATTGGTGAAATAGTAAACATGAACGCGTGGTCGGGCGAAGATGGTGACGTTATGGGCCCCACAGTCACACGTAAGTAACTGTTATTTTATGTGACAAACCCGCCACAGCCTCCCAAAACCGCTGCAACTCCTGTAAGCCAGGATCTACAGCAGATAGAAACAAAAAAACACTGGAACACCGAAGTCCCGTGTGTCGCAGGGACATTAATAATTGTCTTGGATCCGGCAACGAAAGAAATCAAAGATATCATTAGAAAAGAAGTAAAAACGACTTGAGTAAGGGGTGTCCATAAATTACAAGAGGTTCTTTTCATTTTCTGTTCCTTCCTCCCCCCTTGTGAGATTTTATTCAACACCCTCCCCCATCCCTCAATCTCACGTGAGATTTTTCAAAATGTTGGTTTTTCACGTAAACGCGTTGGACTGTTATTGTAAAAAGAAAAAAAAACCCATGGGCGTGTACAATTAAATCTTAAGCATATACAATCTGGATTAAATGACTAGAATAGTATAATTTTTTTTTTTGGTTCAATTAGAAAAAAATTACGTGATATTTCTCTCTAACGTAAGATTAGATGACATTTGAGTCTATCCCCTCCTCCCTTAAACATATCACGTAATTTATGGACGCCCCCTAACTATACGCAAATGTAGCAAAATTATACTTATTTTCATATCTTACTTACTTCTGCACGCGGCATCGCCCACGTTTCCGTGGAATAAAAAGTACCCTGTGTGTTATTCAAGACCATAATCTATACTTGTTCCAAATTTCATCCCAATCCCTTCAGCTATTTTGACATAATTAAGTAACAAAGACACACACACAAACACTGATTCTCAAGGGCCGATTTTTCAACAATCATTTTTGTTAACTGTAGAACAAAATTGACATTTGACAGTATTTAGTATGGAAGGTTCGTCAAATATTCAAAGTTATTCCTTTGTTAAAATTTATCTGGCGTTTGAAAAATTGGCCCTGAGACACAAACTAACAAACTTTCGCATTTACAATATATGTAAGATGTAAGATTATTGTTCCTCGGTATGTATATTCTATATCTCTTATCCCTAAGAAGTGTCGCGGATAACCTAACGAGTAACCGGGGCTCCGGCTCGACGTGCAGGAGAAGGAACAGGGTGGTTTTTAGTCAGTAAGCGTCTGACACTCCCTCCCGCCTCACCCAGGCGGGAGCAGTAATTCGATGATATTCCCCCCTTAAAAAAAATCCCTTAGAAGTACGTTTTGCATCTATCAGCATTAATGAGTCTACCACTGTGTAGTACAAAACTCCAAATTTTTTAAAAGAGTAACGATATTTAAAAAAAGAATAACAATTGAGTTTCTTGCTCGTTCTTCTTCATTCGAAACTACTCTTTGGAACGAGCACCTAGTTTCACAGACAGACGGAGGGACAATAAAATTTTTGACGTATCAAAAGTGACTATTTAAGGATTAATTGAAATTAATGCTTTGACTTTGACTTTGACTTTGACCTCTACTAAAGCTGCCTTTGCCATAATACAAATGAAAATCGCAGTTTAAAATAGATCAGGATATCAAAGACTGTTCTTTATTAAATTGTGGTCCGATATGTGACCAAACACGAGATCCATAGGAAGAGTAAACGTGGATATTATATTCTACGCTGCCGTCGACACACGATAAAATAACCACCTACAACGACTTTACTCACACAATTAACCAACAAGGCCATACTTGAAATGCTTTAAATACTTCCCAAGTAAAATAT